TTCCTCTGTTCTTTTTACGTCGCGATCGATTCCATCGAGAAATCCGAGAGACGATTTATTGTTAATGATTTTAATGTTTTTCATGTTAAATAAAAACACGCTGTCGCTTTTTCCAACGTTATAAGGGATGCATTAATCAAATAGCGATTAATGCAATTTTAGTGTTAAACTCTAATAATGAGTAAGAATGTATACGCCAAGGTAAGCGACGATTCGCGACAATGAAAATAATTGTGTGATTTTTAGGAACGGATCAGAAAGTTTTTCCATGACTCAAAAGTCTCTTTGGAGTAGTAATAAAATACGACAGTGACAAAGCGTTTTCATGTCCAGAACAAAATGTTAATAGAAGAGACATCAGTGATAACGAAAACGATTGAACGTACTCGTTCAAATTGCGAAAACAGGTGAAAACAGGCTTCAAAAAAGTCTAGAAAACTCAACGTTACCGTTTACTTCCGGCTGCTCCCTCGACGTGAATACTTGCATGCATCAACGTGTGCCCCGCGTGCAGTCGTGCACTCGCGTGTACGTTCACGAACTTGTGACACGAGTACCGGTAGCCAGCAGTCTCGCGGACGATGTAACGGCAATATCGTGTCGTGACTGGCCGTGACGTCCTGGCGAAAACTGTGTCGAGAATTACGACTTGAGATTGAGATGTCTCCTCGCAATCGCATCCCTTACCAGAGGTCTGTTTTCTATGGCTCAACTAGTAGTGGCTCAACTTTTGGGGAACTTAAAGTGAGAAAGGTATATGTTTGATATTTTTGTCGAAAGTGAGAAAGAGAATTCTAAGGCAGGAACAGAAAACAGATCACATGTTTCTTCAAAACAAAGTGCTGGAAAAGATGAATGAAATTAAAATTCAGTGTCTTTATAGATACACGAGTATCTGCTCAAACTTTGGAGAAAATTCTCTGAAAATTTTCAGTCAAAGTTACAGCATGTGTTTTTAAATATTATAGAAATTTAAATTTTTTTTAAATTCTTCTTTCCCGATTGTGAGAATAAAAATAAAAATAAAAACAAAAATTTCTCGCCAAATAAGATGAAAATCTTTGAAGAAATAATTCCTCAAATTATGATAAAATTCTTGCAGAACTCCAGGTTTTCTCAAATAATGACTGTAAATAATGACTTTGCTAGCTTTCTCCAGCGTGCATTATACGAGTACATTAATCATATACTTTTCAATAGGAGATGGAGGAAAATGTAGCTGAAATCATGTGCGCAATCTAAATGATGCATCTTTCGAAAATAGTGTGCTCTACAGCAGAACGCATAATTGACCCAATTGAACCAATACGTAGTTGGAAAGAGATGACCAAATACCTTGGCTTCTCGCCAAGGTTAGCACTAATTTCTACATTCTGTGAAGATTGGAAATCATGGACACAACTAATATCGCATTTCATCGTTCCACGTCTTTATGTTTGAATCAACGATTTTTGAGAGAAAAATATTATATCTTGAACGTAGCGCGAAAAAACGTATAACGCAAGTTAAATATAAAAATCAATAAGATCTTAGATAATAATATTGATTTGAGAGACGAATATATTTTGTAAACCATAATATGCTTAATTAATTTCAATTATATTATATATAATTTTAACTCTATTAAAAGTTAATCTGCAGCGTATCTCATTTAAACTCGATCGCGACGAGCCGTTTGAGAAAAATCGTTTTATATGTATCTATATATATATATATATATAATCCGATTATATAATATAATACAAAAATCCTGTTCATCGACTGTTCGACTTCAGGGCTAACCGGTGATATATTCGCATCTTATTAAAAGCAAAGGTTACAACGTGAAAAGACAGAAATAAAAATGTAGAGTAGGCATTGAGTGAAGCGACACGAACGGTGTTAGAATTATATATCAAGCGCATTGTGCTCAAAGAGTAATTTATATACTGTACCATGTAGAAAGTATCGAATGCGCGTGGCACATTATCGAGAAGCAGTTTTGCCCTCGTAGTCGATCACTGAAACCAGAACGACGCGACGCGACGCGACGCCGACGCACGGCAGAGCGGCGCGGGCGCGGCGGTGTCGATGAAACGGCCGGAAACTGGAGGCAGAGCTCGACGTAGCCGTGCTTCGTTAAAGCTCGAAATCGCATTAGCATCGACGTTTTCACGTGAGGGAATCAAAGCGAGAACCGATGAGGTACCCAAGTTGCACGAGCCTCCAAATGAACGCCACTGTAAGAATAAGTAAACGACTGAATTGTTAAAGAGAGAGCATCCGAAAGCCCAATTCCGATCGAGTAAGATACTCATGATCTTATATATCGGGGGAGATCTGCCGTAATAATTATTTATAAGTCACGTCAGGTTTAAAATAAAGCGTGCGATACTTTTTCCTAACCGACAAGATTCGTGTAACGAGCTAACGAGCGGTGATCATTGTGTCATACTGCTGCTTGGGAAATTTGTCATCGTTGTTCTCTTCGTAGCCTCTGATATGCGTTGCAAGTTACAAATCGCAAGTTACAGATCGTACCTAGAAGCGTTTTTTGTTGTTGGCAACAATTCCGTCGCGTCTCCGTCCGTTCATTGACGTTTCAGGCGTAATTGAACGTAACGGCACGGTCGCGTCAAAAGTATCGATTTTTCCGACGAAAGATCGGATCAAATTTCACGCACGCCTGTAATTTCTAGTTTCCAAACTCTCGTCTGACGAAAATCACCTGAAATGAGAATTTGAAAAAATAATTTTTCTTTCAAATTTGTCACGAAACGAACGCGAAGCTCTGGCTGAGAGAGACTTACTTCATACTTGGAGCATTCGACCTTGGTGCGTCATCGCGTCGCTGTCGCTTACGCACTGTCCTTTCCGTCGGGACACCCGATAAATAGGAGTATATGGACAATATCTATGTAACCGATCTGTACCATCGACGCTCGATACCTGTCCTGGCTATTCGATGACGCCTCTCACGTAATCCGTGCTTCCTTTAGTTACACGTTACACTGTCACTGTCTACGCATAGTGTGGTGTGGTGTGATGTGATGTGGTGTGGTGTGGTGTGGTGTGGTGTGGTGTGGTGTGGTGTGGTGTGGAGTGGTGTGGCTTGGCGTGAAAAGCAACGCGATCAACTCGAAAATCCTTGATCGTATCCTCTCTATGCATATTATTCACATAAACGAGTGTTATGTACTTGTGAATGATTCATGTATTGCAGTTGAAACATTGTTGAAGAAAGGTCTAGTACAATAGAAAGATGCACGCGGTGAAATTTCAAGCTCGCTGTTTCCGGACAGATCGATGCACGTCCTGCATGTAAACCTGCACCCGGCACCCCGACGACATATGCACCCAGCACCGCTGCCGGCTTGCCTCGTCACAATAGTTTTTTCGCACCCCACGTTTCATCGTTTTCCCCTCACGATACTTAAATGCACTCGTCCGGAATCGCAATTCTATTCGGAGGTGAGGATTTCACAGCAAAGCGAAACGAGGCGAGGCGAGGCAAGGCGAGGCGAGGAGAGGCGAGGCGAGGGTCGAAAGAAACGGTCGTCGATACGAAATGAGTGTGCTCGGTGTCCAAGATGGAACTGTCATTTGTCGAGAATTGCGTTAGGAAATACAGCGTACAACATATCGTCCAAGTTTACGTTCGCTTAATTTTCTGATAACAGTATCTTAAGTATCTTAACAGTATCGGGCGCGCGTTAACGAGACCACAAATTATTAAATTTATTATTGCGCCTACAAGGAAAAATTTCGGTCTATGTACTATACGTAATTTGGCATGAAAACAAAAATATCTGAACACTCTTCGAAATACAGTTGTCAGACAATTAGACCTCGTTTACGCAATCGAGAATCGTCGGACTGTGTTCGATCGGGCTGTGATCGCTCCGACGCCTCCGATCTCGCGGAATCGCGGAACCACCGCACTGGCGACGGGACGGGACGGGACGGGACAGGACGGGCGATCACCGGCGATATCGGCAAGTAGCACACTTACCTGCGAAAGCAGCCTTCGCCGTGTACGACGCACCAGCGTGAGGAAGCGCGGAACGCGCGGCGAACAATGACACGGGCGATCGACGTGAAGGGGCGGGAGGAAACAGGGCTTGGTTCACCGATCCTCCGAAGCGGAGCCGAAGCGTCAAGCGAGAGCCAGACCAGCTGCGCTAGCGTAGCCTGCGTAGCGTAACCGCGTAACGCACGTAGCACGTACAAACAACTGTCTCTCTCTCTCTTTCTCTCTCTCTCTCTCGCAGTCAATTCGATTGTCGACAGGTCCGTTCGGCGGGTGGTCCTCTCACAAGTCACGAATCACGAGATGACGCCGTACAGGACGGGGACCACGGCCCTTGTTGTCCGCGCCATTTTCAAATAGTCCTTGGAGAGAGCGGAGAGCGGCGGCGACGTTGAGAAATTGCGTATCGCGAATCGCGAGTAACGCACGACGCGGACGCCGCCCCGGACGCGCCGCGACAAATTCCTCGTCTCTCACTTTTCGTTTCTCCTCGCTTTCCGTCTTCCTCCTATATATTATTCCACCGCACGAGCCACGAATGCCGCGAATAATCGCGAGACGACGAGATCACTCGGCAGCAATGGCTGGAATACTACTACGGCACTGTCTCGGCACTGCCCTCGACTCACTCGATTCGACGTTTCTATCTAATTTCTGCGCGCACCCGCCGTCATGGCCGACTGCGATTAGGAAAAACGGAGTTTCTCTCGTGACGCAATCGAATAAGCACGCCCCGTTTCACCTGCATTTTCTCCAGCAGGTGGCGCCACGGCCACGCCTGACTGTCGATAATCGACAATCGGTAATGTTGATCGCGAATTATGTTTTATCCAAGGAGTATAGTCAATCGCGGTTATATCGAGGATCGGTAAATGCTCGAATAAACACACGTGTGTATATAATTTTTTTACGCGTAAAATTAAGCAGCAAATTATACACTCGAATATTTGAATTGTTGCCAACTTCATTTTCACAAACGTTGATATGATTGCAATCAATGACAATAATGACTAAAAAAGATTTCGCATCTATAGCTAGACTATTCGTATGACCGCAGTAAATAAAGATACGATCACATTGCATAATTATTACCTAAATACCTGGTTGAGGGTTGAGTCAATATAAAAAAATATTGCGACCATATGCATAACGCAAGGTGAAGAGAAAAGGGGTCGAGACGAGAAGTCCAAGAGAATGGAGTAGGAAGGCTAGGTGGATCGTTTACGTCGTAAGTCGTTTACGATTCAACGTGGCGAAATGCGAAAATCTTGATTCCGCGACCTCGCTTGGACCTCGCTCGAAAGTTTCCCACTGTATGAATCGAATTTATTCGGATGAAACAGGATGAAATAACGGTCGATGTAGATGCAGAGAATCACGAATGAACAATTATCGGATCAACGGATCCTGACGGTCCTCGATTGAGTGTCAAATTTCTGGAATTCACGTTCGCGATTGCACTCGGCAACACCCGATTATGTGTCATATTTTGTGATAACAATACTACGTCAACTGTGTCGCCGTGGTATCGCGATAAGGTCAGTTTATCCTCGATCATTACGTGAGGTTAGACAGTTTTCTCGGATTCTACGAAACATAGCACAGTCTTTTTAACAACTTCTGCACGATTAATTTGTAGATATGTATATACACATTAATTTCCTTTTAATTCTGTAACTTCTTCACCAAAAAATTAATAATTGATTTTATTTTGCATATTAGGACAAAACTTAATTATTAATGCATTGATCATAGTTTACATCAAGTGTAACTGATAATTAAGCTTTACTTATTTTATACTGTCTAAGCCATTTAAGGCTTGATTGCACCAACTTTTGATGATTGACTTCAAATTTCTGTCTCTCTCTCTCTTTCTCTCTCTCTGTCTCTCTCTTTAAAGCCCAGAGAGCAACAGATAGAAAGAGTCTTAAGTCTCACTTAAAGTTTAACTTATGCGCTTAACTTGTGCAATCGGATCTAAGCAGCTAAAATAAAATTTGAAAACTATTTAATTATATGAAGATATAATTTTGGTTTTATGGGCTTAATACAAGGCATTCTTGTAAAAAAATTTTTCTAAAAAGATTTAATATATAAGACATGATGTATTTTTATATCATGATATAAGAGATAACACATAAATGCATGTGTATAATATACATCACTAATAAAACACCATTAGACATTAAATAATGGCAAGTGAATCTTGGAATGTCTTGGTAACGGGAGGCGCTGGTTATATCGGTTCTCATACAGTATTGGAATTAGTACAGGCGGGTCTTCGGGTGGTGGTAATAGACAACCTTATCAATGCATACAAAGGTGAGACGTGACAAGCTATATGACAAAAAATGATATACCTTCTGTATATATTATATATATATATATATATTTCAAATTAAATGATATATTAATGACACAGTAAATTAATTATTATCTATTTTCTACTTAAATCTAACATATGTATTTTCTAGTGATAATACAATAGCACATAAATGCATGCAAATTAATAATTAATTAGAGATTAAATAGTTATTCTGATAAATTATCATTCTTCTGTCATGTATTGTGTAATTTATATAGGTATAATACAATTTTTAATTTTTCAATCTGTTTTACTTATGTTTACAGACTCAAATTCTGAGAAACCAGAATCTCTCCTCAGAGTGGAAAAATTGACAAATAAAAGTATTGTATATATTGATTGTGATATCACAAACATCAATGATTTAAGAAGTGTATTTCAGAAAGTAAATATGCTTATTTGCTCAAATTTTACTGATAGTACATTAGATTCGAATATTCAGAATATTTTTATCTTTACAGCATACTTTTCATTGCGTTATACATTTTGCTGCATTGAAAGCAGTTGGTGAGTCATGTCAGAAACCACTCGAGTACTATAAAACTAATGTCAGCGGCACAATAAATTTGCTAGAAGTTATGCGGGAAAACAATGTAAAACATTTTATTTATTCAAGTAGTGCCACAGTTTATGGTGTACCTGAGCAACTTCCTTTAGTAGAAGACATGAAAACTGGTAACTGTACAAATCCGTATGGAAAGACAAAGTTCATGGTGGAAGAAATACTAAAAGATTTGTGTACATCAGATAAGGTACATATTATAATATATTATCTTGTGATTCACTTTAATAAAAGGTTACTTTTTAGGAATTTTCCGTTATATCTTTGAGATATTTTAATCCTGTCGGCGCACATCCCTCAGGTGAAATTGGAGAAGATCCCAATGGTATTCCAAATAATTTAATGCCCTATATTGCACAAGTTTCTGTTGGAAAAAGAGACATGTTATACATTTATGGGAATGATTATGATACCCCTGACGGTACAGGTAAGAGTTTTCTCCTTTTTTTTTTATTGTAGAAAGTATGACTAGATAAAATTCTTTTAATAGAAAAGCTCTTGTAAAGAATATATATTGTAGGTATATATACTGTAGGAAGAAAGAGAACTTTATGATATTGTAATTAAGATCTTTTTTTCTAAATTAAATTTGCAGGTGTACGTGACTATATTCATATTATGGATCTGGCAGTTGGACATATGAAAGCTGTAAAGTATCAAAAAACTCGTAATCCAACGGGATTTAAGCCGATAAATCTTGGTAGTGGAAAGGGCTATTCTGTGCTTCAAGTTATACATGCATTTGAAAAAGCATCTGCACGGAAAATACCATATAAGATAGTTGAACGTAGACCAGGTGATGTCTCCACCAGTTACGCGGATGCTAGTATTGCTAATAAGGAATTAGACTGGACTGCTACAAAAAATTTGGATGACATGTGTAAGTTGTAATAATAAATGAATAACAATGATAATATTTATTCATATTTTATTTGGTATTATTATCCATATTTTCTGTACTTAAATGTTTTAAAATTATAAACTTATTATGTTCCAGGCGCAGATACGTGGAAATGGCAACAAAATAATCCTAACGGATATAAACTTTAATAAATATTATGTCTAAATAATTAAGAGAAGCATCTGGAGCTTGCTATTACATTTGCCTTCCGCATATCATTGGCTAGATAACGAAGCCATGGTGGTATACAGTTACCAAAGTTTAGACCAAAGCATTAAAAAAATAATTTTTTATCTTCTGTTAATTAAGCAAATTTTATATAATGAGAATTTATATATCTAACAAAATATAATATTCTATTATTCACTTTGTGTTTATGTAAATCTGTTAAATATATTTTAAGACATAATTTTTTTGTATGTTAAAACTAAATCAATTTCTATTATTACACAATATGGTGCCATTTTAAATAGTCACACAATATATATAATACATTAATATATATAATATATATAATCTACTATTTTATGTAAAGAATCTAAAAATACTTTTATATATACACTAAAACAATGTAAATATATAATTGTAGTATATGAATAAAAAGATACGCAATTTATTACTGAAAAAATTTTCTTTTTTCGACATTTTTATTATTGTACTCTCGATACTTACATAATTTTTTTTTATTGTCATTGATGTATAAATTGTTAATAAAATTAGATGAAGATACTACATACACTTAAATGTGAAAAAAAGGAAAATTGTAATTATTCAAATTATCATCATTTCGAATTTGAAAATTGATGTAATTGCCTGTACGAGAAATCGATAAGATATCGAGAGGTCGACAATCATGATTAATATAGTAAACCGCGCGATTTTACATACCTGTCAAATTTATAGTCAGACGTCACATGTTACATTTAAAAAAAAATTAGAGAGTCGAGTAAAGTACTGGAATTTTAAGAGCAGGTTAGGATCGCTCATTTGTCATCAGCTGATCGGACACTTGGCACCTGCTTGTATCGACATGTTCGTTCAGACTCCGATCGTATCCAGTCGAGTCGTTCTGTGATATATATCTCGTGATAGCCGTAACAATTGATTGTGCTCGATCATGGACCCATCGAAGGACGAGGTACAGACGGAGGGAGGTCTGATTGAAAATCTATCCACGGAGCAGAACTCGAGATGCGAGTCACCGAAACGCGGCACCACGCTCTCCACCAGCACCAGCAGTTTCGAGGCATTGGACCCGCACGATCCAAACCTGAGTCGTTTGGCGAACACAATGTTCCAGAAGACGGGCGAATACCTGCAGGAGGAGCTCACCGCTACCCACGCAGACTATCGGCTGCTGGAGCGTCTAAACAAGGAGACCATCGCAAAGTACACGGAACTGAAGATCATCTCGTCGAACGTAGTGCAGTCGTTGGACTCGCTGAATGACAAGTATAAGAAGTTACAACCAATCCTGGATAATATCAATCAGATTGATGACAGCGTTAGTAAATTGGAGCAAGCTGCATATAAGCTAGCAGCGTATTCCAAGCGACTCGAAGCCAAGTTTAAGGATCTTGAAAAGGATACGAAAAATAAATGAAATTGTAATTATGAATATGTAAATCATTGTATGTACTTTTATGTAATTATCCTATAAATAATAGGATAATATAATTATATATCTTAAGCGACAGTTACAGTATTGCGAATATAAATGATTGTATAAAAAATAAGTAAGAGAGCTAGCAGAAAAGCATGTCTTTTGTACATTGTATTTATTAGTATAACGAGACCTCTTGAACACGCTTACAAAACTTCTATAAAAGTGTAGTTTGCTATCCCTTTGCATATCATACAAAATCTGACTGTTATAATTAACTTATTAATTAAAAATGATACATCTTATTTAATGCTCTATCAAGCCTAATCTTTCTTCTGCAATATACATATTAATAAATTTCACAATGTGCCTACGTAATGATGATACAAGTGTAAATACAATTACTATGTATAAATTCAAAAACAAATAATTATAGCTATATTTAATAAAAGAGATATTTGTATATATTTGCCATAATATTAAATACAATTAAAGAAAAGTATTTATCACTTGATATACGGCAGATAGAATTAATGTTCCAATATATAAAATTGAATTTATTTCTAATCTTGTTAACAATAATTTACTGAAATATATAGCTCAAGTATATAACAGATGATATATGTGTATGAATTGCTAGAAGATTGTAAGTGGTAATCCTTTATCGGTAATTATTTTAAGTGTTATACAATTGTCTTTATATATAACTATATGGATTATGAAGCATAACACAATATGTGTGGAATATTTAGATTATGTAACTATAAAACTTCGACATTGCATTGTCTCGTCGCACTAAAATGTTCATGTCACGAATATGAAAATCCAAAGCGATTATTATACTCCAATACGGTCTTCCAAATATCACAATATATCGTAAACGGCCATAATAAAGAAAGCTGCATTGTTCCTATAATTTAATTGCCGATAAAAGCTGAAACACTTCTACATAGATGATATTTAGCAGTCTAAGAAATTGCCGGCCATCAACAGTTCCAGAGCAATCTCGGGTGCGATAGGAAATTCTGGTATTTCTGTACTGCTGTTTGTGTAGCGTACTTTGTAAGTAAAATACATGCAGACCTTTTGTAATACATGAGACCTATAAAAAAAGACATTTATTCAAACAACAATAATAATAATAATAATAATAATAATAATAATAATAATAGTAATAGTTCGTATCTTTTATACTTACGGAATTTCTCGGAAGTTGACTTCATTCGCTTCATTCTCTGCAAATTGACCAGGACCACTCAACATTGCTTTGATAGTACCACTCGTTAACGCATGTTCCCGTTTAACAATAAACTCATGGCCATCGCTACTGACCAGCTTCACGTACATTGCGTTTGGTCCTTCGCAGCCCCCATAAATGGGACTACCGTTTTGCTAAAAAAAAATTTCCAAAACATTTATCACATTATTTGTCACATAAATAGACAAAATTTTATACATAAATCTAAAATATTGTACAATTGTAAGAAATAATGAAGTATAGTGGGATAAATAAAAAGAACCACCTCTAGAAAGCAAAATTTAATTTGGAAAAATAGGTACCGCATGCATGTCTTTAGACGATCTGCCATCTTCTTCTTCGGTCTTATTGACACTTGCTTCTTCATTGTGCTTAATCCAAAGAAAGATTAATGTTAATCAATATTTTACCACAAGCTTTCAGCTTTCCAGAAAGGGAACGAGTAATTTTAACGTATAACAGCAACACAACATGTACACGATTATCGTTACAGATATATTGTTATACATCCTGATTACCATGCAGAGATACACCATGCAAACGAAATTGTTTCTATACATACCTTCTCAGCCTGCATATTTACATCAGTGGACATATTTGTTGTTGTTGTAAAAATATCCTCCTAAAGCAAAACGGTTCAAATATACTATATATATGTGTGTGTGTGTGTGTGTGTGTGTGTGTGTGTGTGTGTGTGTGTGTGTATACACACATATATACATATAAAATACAAACAAAATAATAACGGATAAATTATATGTGATAACTGTATATGTTAAAAACTAAATAGTGATTAAACAAAAAATACGAACCCAAACATATTTTGTAAATATTTTGTTTACAAAATTTCAAAAGTACCAAATTATTATTGATATCATAGGCATAACTTAAAACATGAAACAAAACATTGTGTGTACTGAAAAATAACCATAGGTTATAAGCTACACATCGGAAAGTAACGTTTGAAATACAAAAAAGACAGTATTTTTCGAAGCATCGTATTTTATATGCACGCAAAACCAATAAAAAAAATTATTTAACAATTTCGAACAAGGCTGCTTCTATGCTTATATTTATCCAATGGAACAATTGAAATAGCTAGGAGTAATTTGTTGTACATTACTGCCAACTCTCTCTCTCTCTCTCTCTCTCTCTCTCTCTTTCTCCTCCTGCCTCTCTCTCTCCTCTCCTCTTGCTACATCATTCTCGCGTTATATTGTAGTAACGTTGGATAGTTGATAAAAATAATTATGAATTATATTTGTCAAATTATTATAAAATGGCAAGTGCCGCGAGTGGTTCTACGTACCTTAGAAACGACACGAAATTTTAATTAAATCAGATCTTCCTAATCGCGATATAGTGTTACAGGAGCAAGTAATCAGCTGACGAGTCGTCTGAAGTCGTCGACGTCGACTGCCAATGACACTTGACACACGACCCCACTCCACATGTTGACTATACCGACAATATCGACGATACTGACGACAACTGACGACGATTGTCGTAACACGAGTGAACTTGGAAAACAAAATCACGATCGTGTGAATGGTATGCTGTGATTTACCGATTCGTATCGTGCACAATGTGTTTCGACATGTTTTGTTTATGTGACTCCAGATCGCGTTTCATTCAAGAGAGTAGTCCCAATCTCAATTCTTTTATAGCTTTGATGTAAATCGTAAAGATTAAATGACATCTGGTATTTTTTGATTCTCGATGTGCCGTTTAACAATAATTGTGAAATAACTCGAGCAATGTTCAAAATTTTATGAATCGTTTCAATCCAGAAACATTAATTTTTTTACTGTAAAAATTTCATTAATTTTATCGAACTTTATGTGACCTGTCATCTCATCTTGATGGATCACAGGTTGGATTCTAATTAATAACTTAGCTTTTATTTAAATGACAACAAAGCATTAATAAAGTATAAAAAATTATATCGTATAAAGTTGAAAAATAAAATTAATAAATAAAAATGATCATTAAAACTTTTATCAATTTTTTGAACATGTTTTAGGAAGATGTAGGAAGTTACTACAGCAATTATATAGTTTAACGGATCATCATGGCTGTTTTTAAATCAAGACAAACTACTTGTTCATTAGAAACAATTCGATTAGCCAGATAACGCAGAGCTTCTTTAAATTATACGAAACATATAAATAATGTCCTTCAGAATACGTTTAGCTCGCAGCAGGCCAATTAGACTTTTGGGGAATGTAGCCATGAAGTGTTGGGCTTTTAGTGGAGCATATATTCTCTTATGCTTTTTTTTATATTGGTTATATGGCGGCATTTTGGCTTTTGTCTTACTGTGTTTTGCCACTACTGGTTCGTATATAATATATATATATACATTATATATAGTAAAAAAAAATATATATATATACATATACATATTTTTTATACTACAAAAGATTTCATTTTCTATAATAAGGTTATTATTATTATAAATTTAAAAATTTTATATTAATTTAAAGATTATAAAGACTGATATTTTTTATTATCACAGGAATACTCTATCACAGAGAAGATCAACTTCTTTATCATCCGGAACTGCCAGCCCATTCGAGAGTCTATGTACCAGCTCCTTCAATATTTAGTTTACCTTATCAAAGTATATATACTAGAGCCGGAGATGGCACAATTCTGCACATGTTTTTTATTTCTCAACCAGAAGACAGAATGAGGAAAGCACCTACATTATTGTTTTTTCATGGCAATGCTGGCAATATGGGTCATCGGTATATTCATTATTTTACTGTATATATATATATATATATATATAAATAAACACTGTTGTAGTGTGTTCTGTTGTTTGTTACAAAGAAAAAATTCGATTATAAACAATAATGCTTAACTGAAAAGCATTTTTACAAATTTCTCTAATTAAAATATTGTAAATTATTAAAAATACTTCATTAATTGTACCCGTAAAGTTTCTATATTGCTTGAGAAAGGATAAAGGATGAATTATATATAAAGTGAGTTACGTTTGTACAATACAAATTATCGTAATATTATGCATATATTTATGTTTCAGATTGCAAAATATAGTAGGACTGTATCATAATATTCAATGTAACATTCTAATGTTAGAATATCGAGGATATGGCTTGTCGCAGGGTACTCCATCGGAGGAAGGGCTCTATATGGATGCTCGAGCGGGAATAGATTATCTGTTTAGTAGAACGGATATTAATACCAATGAAATCATAGTATTCGGTAGATCATTGGGTAAAGAATTTAATCTTATTATTGGGGATGTTTATTTATTTTCCAATATTTTTTAATCTTATGTTTTATTGTATTAAGCTCTAAGATTTTAGTTAATCTTCTTACTAATTATCAATATTTGTGCGTGATAATTAAATTTGATTAAATTGTAATTTAATAGGTGGAGCAGTAGCCATTGATTTAGCCACAAAAGAGGAAAATTTACAGAGAATTTGGTGCCTTATACTTGAAAATACCTTCACTAGTATCCCAGATATGGCCGCCTTATTTGTAGGATCTAAATTTTTACAGTATCTGCCACTTTTTGTATATAAAAACAAGGTAATAAATAGAAAAGATTTATAAATTTTTAATTACTTTATGCGATTATTCTTCACTCTCTTTACAAGTTTAAAGGTTTTACGAAAGAAGGTATAATGTCTTATATTAAAAGGTATCATATAATTAGCACAAATCTTCGTACATTTTTATCCTCCATATTATGTATTAATTTATTATATTTCGTAATCTCCACAATCTCAGTAATCTCGCTTCTCTATTCTTATATTTATTTATAGTTTCATGTATTTTTATATTTTTTTTACATGATTCCTCACATTTTCATATTTTTTGTTGCAGTACTTGTCTATTCTGAAAGTTCGTTCAGTGACAGTGCCCACTCTGTTTATTTCCGGTCTGGCGGATACATTGGTACCACCCCGCATGATGCAAGATCTTTATAAGAATTGTCGAAGTACATATAAGCGTATACTTCCGATTGTGGATGGCACACATAATGAAACCTGGTGTCAGCAGAGTTATTATCAAAACATTAACGCCTTTCTGACCGAGCTCAGGGAAAATCCACCTCCAAGGGTAACGTCTAGTCATTGGCAAATTGATAATATTTAGTGTAAAAGTACTTCTGTCATCGCATCTATTTATTAATATAATAAACGTAATTTTTGCGTTTTAAAGGCATAAAAAAATCAATTTTATCAAATTGTACTTTTTCTACCTTTTGTAGAAATTGTTCTCACGCTTTGCAGAAATAGAGAAGTCGACTTTATGACTTTCAAATGTGACTTTAATAATAATTACCCATGTGTCCAAATCAAATCATAATTAAATAAATATTTCAAGTTATAAATAATAGTTTAAGTAATATAATTAATTATTTGAACTTAATTAGCTTAAGTTAATGTAAGTTGATTTAATGTCTTTACTTATTAATTTATTCAAGTATTTTCTGATTATTTTAATTAAATTAAAATAATTAGGAAAAACGAGAGAGAGAGAGAGAGAGAGAGAGAGAGAGAGAGAGAGAGAGAGAGAGAAAGAGAGAATTAATCAATGGAATATAGTTACAATAAATATTTCAAGAAACTCTCTATAATACAAGAACATTTGAATTAAAAATCTTTAAAATTCGAAAAGTAAAAATTCTTAAAACCTACAATTTAAAAGTGTGCGACGAGAATATTAAAAAACATAAGTTTATTTACTAGAGTAAGTTGAATTTAATTGTGACTACCAAAGTATGCATGAGCCTGCGAAAATAAAATTTTTAATATATTTCTTCCTATAAATCAATATTATGGATTTTATTATATACTACTGACCGTTCCTGTTATAATGAATACTATAGAAAAAAATTAAAAGATTATTATAAATAATATAAATTATAACGACTAATCTATGCAATTTTTGCAAGAATTACATAGATTACATATTATGTAAGTTATGCTAAAAACATAATAAAAAATATCTTTTATATTTTTTTTCTATAATAATCTTCATGTTTTTATAAGAATAAATTTTAATGTCTACGATTGATTCGTCTTCTTTTTGCATTCATTCTTCGAATCAATAGCATGCCGATTATCATTAGAATTCCAAGCAGAGCAGTCAATATTGCCAGAACAGTAATCATTCCAGAACCAGGTTTGAATGTTACAATCTGTTTACTAGAAATACTTGCAATATTAATGGTCATTCTTTCTGCAGAATGTGAAAACTCGTCGCAAAAGATTTCTCCCTTCCATTTGTACCAATGAATCATCCTTTTGTTGGCTAATGCAGGTGGCTCAGCACATCTAAGTAATAACAAAATGTGAAAAATAAGATACATTGATGAATGCTATTTAATTCATTTATGTGAATTTTGCGACAAAAAATAAAAACAGATGGAGGAACAATTTCAAAATATAAAAATATTACTTTGTACATATATAATATGATTTTGTTACGAATAAATAGTAAATCAAATTAATTATTAACTTAATAATATTAATTTAATATATTGGAAAAAAGAAATTGTCATTAAATCCTTAATATATTTAAAATAGGTTCTAAAATATTCTATAATATTAACTTATATAAAATTACCTCAAATCTTCTAAAAGATTGGGATTCGTTATATAAAGCTTTGGAATTAATTCGTTCAACATCCATTGCAATGAACAATTACAAATAAATGGATTTCCTTGCAGATTAATGAGATATTTTAAATTTGAAACATTTTTATTGTAAACATTTATATTAAATAGTTTTGATGGTAAGTGAGTAAAACAATTATTGCTCAAATCTAGCTGAAAAATAAAAAAAAATTGTGCAATAAATATTTTTTTAAAAGAAACATTTTTATATAAAAAAACTTTTGTGTATGTAAAATACTAACAGAGCAAATATTCATATGTCGAAAAACATTTTCCTCAATCACATTCAATTTTTTATTACTCGAAATAGTTATATTGATACAACTATTTTTCTTCTCCTTTAACATTAGAAATGTTTCTTGATCAATTTTCTCAAACGTTTCCATAAATTTTACTTCAAATATTTCCAAATTTAATTCAGACCGAATTTTTATATCTTCCAAATGATTCCCACTGACTTTAAAAATTCTTAAACTTGGAAAATTTTTAATAGAAATAGTTTCAGGTATTATTGTTAAATTATTGAAGGATACATCTAACGTCTCTAAACTTTTTAGAAAAACTTCTGGAAAATCTGATAAGGAATTTCCACTGATATTTAATTTTTTTAATTCTTCCAATAAGGTCAAATTGTTACATATGTTAGAAATGCTATTGTTTTGAATGTTTAAAGTATGAATTGATGACTTTTGAAATGTTATAATACTGATAAGATTGTTTTCCGTGTAAAGTTCCAACAATGACAACGGAAGATTTTGGAAATTTAATGAGAGAAGCTGATTATTGTTCACGTGAAGAATCTTCAAATGTTGCATATAAAGTAAAGAATTGACTGGGAGAGTAGTAAATTTATTGAAGGAGAGATTTAAATATTCCAACTCCGGCATAACATCGAGGAAATTCTGTAAAATATTAAAGTATTAAGGTAAATGAACTTAATAAAAGTAATGTTATTAGGTGTTGGAATTAATTCGTAGCGTTTTACAAGTGATGGGAAGTACTTTCATTAATGTATTTTTTAATGCTCATGTGAAATAAATAACATTCTTTCATTAAAAAACGCTACGAATTAATTCCAACACCTAATAATATATTGCAATAATTACGTATAATTTTAATTATATTATTATATTACTATAATAAAGCATTACTATAATAAATTTCGCTAAAATTTTGTTTGCTATTAGAATTAAAATTAATCTTTTATTATTAAAATTACTGTATTACCAAATCAACAAGATTGTTGTGAGACACATCAAAGACTTTTAATTTTGTTGCGCTTTTTGAACTTTTTTCCAATTTGTTCAAACGATTATAACTCAAATTAAATTTGGAAAGGGAAGATTCTGTATTTAAGACAGAAATATCGAAATCCCAAAGTAAATTGCTAGAATAATCTAAATCTTCGAGTTCATTTAGGTTCTTAAGGATATCTGAATGTATATTATCCAATTTATTTTGAGACAAATCCAATCCTTTTAAATGTTTCAGATGTTTTAGTTCATTTAGAGGTAAAAGTACTATATTGTTCTTTGAAAGAATAAGTTTGTTTAATGGTCGATGCTTATCTAGAGTAAGAAGATCGAAGTTAAGAACGTCATTAGTTCCCAAGTGTCTGTCATGACAATCAATAATTGGTCCTACATCTGTAAGAATATGTAATATTACATTGATATTTATGATTTATATTCTTAGCGCATCTCTTATTACAAATCATATATTGTGATATATTATTATTTACGGTAACAATGATAATGACAAAAATGTATATTACTATGTATTTATTGATTTATTTATTGTCATTTATTAATTTATTAAATCTTCTAATTTTTTAAAAAGCTAATTTTTTATAACAATTAACTTTCACAATTAGCAGTAATGATATAATAACAAAAAGTATCGTATTTATTATTTTTTAATCGATTTCTTCTATTATTTCCTCCGCGGCGATAGATCTTATAATTTTTTTGTTTTGAAAAAAACTTACTTGAGGTAGAACATCCACAGGTTTCACATATATCGCACAAACATTCGTTGCATAGAAATAAAAGCGACAGTGCAATAATATTAAACATTATAAGATATCCGTACTGTGATTTTACACGCAGGCTATCACTAAATAGTATATATTTAATTATATATAGTAGATACACGCCTACTACAGCCGATCCCGATAACATATCTGATAAGTGTGTCAACCATGTGAGTAATATGAGATTACATACTACTCATTTTGCGGGAAATATAGGTGCAACAGATATCATTTAATTAATTATTGATATAACTAACAACTTCTTACAATTATGTAGAAACAATTTTAATTTTTTATATTATAAATTTTAATTCATTGACGTAAGAAATAAACTCAAATGTTATGTATATAAAGTCGAGACAATAAATGTGAATACAAAACAGCTTTTTAAGGTATCCACAAAAATAACAATCACAAATTGTCATATTCAATAATTACAATATTAATCACGTACATAAATTCAAAATACTTTCGCTATTAAATATAAGCCGTGTTCCGATATACACTTTCAGTACTAAAAATCTATAATATATTTAACGTAAACTATAGATTTTAATACTAACAATGTATACAACAGAACAAAATCATAGTAGAATGTCTATTTTATAGATATTCTTTTATTATGGCATCCGTCTCAAAACGATCGAATTTTTGTTTCAGATTTCGTAAATTTATCTTTTAGTTTAAGCAAAATGAAATTTGATTTTATTTTGACAAAGTATAATATCCTTATTTAGTTGTATGTAATTATTTAGTTGCAGTATTCCCGGTATTCATCTGAATGTGAAGATGAAGCAATTTATTTATCTGTAAAAATTGATTCTGTTATTGTAATAATATGATAGAAAAACAATACTAAATAAACAAATAAAGTAATAATAATAGAAAAAAAATTATAATTTGTCTATAAAATTAATGGAAAATTTGATAGCGAAAAATGAACAGTCTAATATAATATACAGGCAATTTCTTACAATAAATATTATAAAATTATCAGTTTATTGTTTATAGAAATTTATTATATTATTTTAAAAACAAACGAATATACATCCAACTTACTTGGACAATTGTAAAACAATTCTAGCATTTCTTAAAGAAATTTGTAAGCGTGGACTGCTTTTTTTTCACTTTTTCCATTTTAGTTTCTGTTTTTTTCTGCTCTTTTCTCTTTGTCTCTTCTTCTTTTTCTTCCTCATCTTCAGAACAACTTACATAAACATGTTCTTTCTTTGTTACAATATATTCGCCTTCTTTATAAGTTCTATTAATTAATTTCAACACTTTTCTTTTACCATTTTCATGTTTTACTTTTGGTGGAGAAGGACTCTTTGCTTTCATAGGAATTTCTGGTTCCATTTCAGGAACCGATTCCTCCATCTCTATATCACTTTGTATCTCTGAATCACTAGAATCAGTCTGCATAACAATTCTCTTCCGTTTCTTAGCAACTTCATTTGTTTCTTTACTTCTATTTCGTTTTTTTCCATGCGACTTCTTCTTTTCTTTAATTACTTTTTCTTCGGTAAATTCTTTTTTGGCATTATCATGTTTCTTTTCTGATGATATTACTTCTGCAGTAGATTTTGGAGGAGAAGGCAGTTTCCCAAAAAAATTATCCAAGCTTCCCTTTTTAGAATTATTTTGTGGGGATATTTTTTTATTAGTAGAATTGGTCATGGAATTTTTATTTTTCTCAGTTAAATTTTGAATTTTTTCTACAGAATCTTTGGAAAAATCTTTATCCTTCTGAACAAAACTTTTATCCTCTTCTGCAGTATTTTTTTCCTTTTTCATTGAATCTTTATCACTTTCTTGGAAAGATGATTTTAATTTTTCAGAACTCTTTGATTTTTCCACCATATTAAATAAATTATTAAATCCATTTTTCTTTGTTACCTTTGGATTCTTTTCTGCCTTTGACGAATTTGTCAAATTTGTAGATTTTAAATTTGTCACATTTTCGATTGTAACTTTTTTAGCAGTTGTACCCCAACGTAATAGTTGCATTTCTTCATCAGTTCGCTCTTTGCAGGCATCACATTTTATAGCACTATAAATTGTATCACCTGAACCAGAAGTGGCAAGTAATTCCAGGTCTGCAATTGGCTTGTGAACACTATAGACATGTTCCGAGATAATTTTACTGAATTTTTCTTTAGCTTCAGATAAATTGGATCCTTTAACAACTTCTACACGCATTCCTTTCTCCTTTAGATAACCTATCAATAAATATGTGCATTCTATGTCATTGTTGCTTTGATACTTTTGATAAAAGTTCCACAAGATTTGTTTTGCTATATTAACATGGATATGCAGCTCTTTGCTTAGCCATTTGTAGGTGACCTAAAAATATACATCACTGCATTATACATGATATAAAATAATAATAAATAAAATATTTATATAAAATATAATGCGGAATACATTATATATAAAAGGTTGCGATAAAATTACCAGCTTGTCATTGTCAAAAACATGACCAGCCAAGGTCTCTAAATGCTCATTCGATATTTCCGTATCCATTTTCCAACAATTCGTGTCTCAAATGATTGTTTATTAACAATCCACTCGTAGTTGAATTTCCACCAAACTTTTCTTCTCTATATATTAACCCCGCACTTCGAAATGATATAATTAGTAATAAATTTTCCCCTCAAACTTTCTACAAGGAAATCCGGGGAAATTGAATGAATAAACGTTATTGAGTAAATTGTAAGAATATTTGTTGAATTACAAAAGGCGGTAAGTCAAAAAATAAAACGTTTGTACGCGGTTATTCTTATGATGGTTAGGTTAGGCCGCCGCTGCCATCTTTTCCAATAGTACTGATTGGTTAGGTTGTCTACATTATGTGATCACAATACACCAGTTTTTTACTTTATTTGAAAACAAACTTCAAAATTTGTTTATCCATTACTTCATCTAATGATAAATTTTATTAAGTTTTAACATTTAAATTCATATTTCAACATTTAAAGAGAAAGAAAATTTAACAAAAAGAAAACACTGTATACTGGATTCACAAAGTTGGATTAAATATGTGCGAGTTTGGATAAGAACGCTTTTGCATTTAAAAGAATTACATATATAATCAGGTATATGTGAATAATTTTTTTTATTTACAACTTTATGTATTAGTTACATTACTTACATTTATTTATTTATACTATGAATATGATCATAGATGAAGGACATAAGGGAACGGAAATTATAATGTTGCACGCATATTTAACATCCTTCTTTTTAGCACATACTTTTCGATTTATTCTTTGCTATATTTTTCTTAACTTGTTCTAACACCGATGTATCCTTAAAAATGATATAATATATGTGAAACTCTTTATTATAATTAATATAAATAATGTGAGTGCAATATTTAATTTATATTAACGTATGTGATCGCATTTTTCTACTTACCATAACTGTAATAAGTAATGAGCAATCGTTTGTATGCATATATTGGACGGTACAAATACCATCACCATCGGAATTATTATCTCTTGTCATCATCCTGTTAAAATTGCTATCATTCGCTGATTCTATTAAATGGATAGGCACATTCCAAATTTTGCTTGCTCCTTTGATAAGGTTTACATTTTCCCGATAAAAATTGTAATCACGCACATTGTTAACCAGAATATTAACTGTGCAAACACAAACATTTATTAAAATTTATCCTATATATTTAAATTATTTAATTAGTGCATCAACTTGGCCAATTATCAACAAGATTTACCTTCTGGATTTGATTTTTTGCTCACGTTTGCCATGCAACTTCTAATCGCATTTGTTACATCTACGAGTTCACATATCCTTTCCTCCAACCTGATATCTCTCAGATGCTTGAACTAATGAAAGAAGAAATGAGAATAGAAAACAAAAATAAAGTATCTAACATGTATAATAACATTCAGATGAAAGAAAATTATATAGTAAAAAAATTGATAATATAAAGACTATTTTTTTCACATACTTCGTATGGCATAGGATAGGAAGTCTCAAGCAACGAGGCGACTGATAGAAATCCTGGTAGTCCCTTCTTGGCAAGTCTTACATACAAATCATCCGATAAATAGGGTGTTACAGGTGCGAGAATGCGTAATGATACTTCCAAGCATTTTGCAAGAGTATTGGAATGCCCAGCGGAATTACCGCTTCTAAACCCAAATTTTGTACCCTCCTATATTTAAAGAAAAATATTTCCTTAATTAAAATAAAGAATTACTTTTATTAGATAATTTAAAAAAATTAAGATTAATAAGAATAATCATATTAATATGTGATTTATATATTTAATTAATCTTATAATTAATATTGTAATTGAAATCTGAAAAGTTTTTCTTAACATTCTTACAAAATTCAGAAAATTTATAAAAATCTTAATTATTATTATTATATTAATTATTATTATATTATATTAAATAAAATTTATACAGCACATTTATAACATACCACATAGAAATCACAAAATTCATAATACAGAAATTGACGAATTGCGGTTATCGCTTTATGAAAGTTTCGTTCGACAAATGCATTATTTACTATTTCAACCATCCATGATAATCGACTGAGGATCCATCGATCTAGGTCATTCAGACTTTCCTTTTCTACATTTTCGTGTCGTTGTTGGTCCTCTTTTGTCATTAATAATACGTATTTGCTTGCCTGCCAGATCTTGTTACAAAAATACTTGCTTGTCCGACAATCATCCACATCAAAACTAATAGTATGATCTATAAGAGAAAAGTATCTATAAGAAAAAGAGACAAGAGTCTCTCTTTCTTAAGATTTAATGCGCTTACTCTTAATATTGCGTGCACATAATGATAATCTCAAGGCATCGGCACCGCAATCTGGTATTCCCATGGAGTACGTTTTTGTATTAACACGCAGCGTTCGCTGTAATTCTTCAGCGCTAAGAATACCTGCCGCGTGACTAAGTCTTGCTTGCTCGTTCAATTCCTACATTATAATTGTGTCTAAGATTAAATTTTTAAATAATAAAATTATAACACATCAAAAAAAAGCAATTTCAGTTTGTTGTTTAATTTTCAAATACAGAGATTAAGCATTTCTATATTATGATATATGTATAATTGGTGCAATTTTAAGAAATACTTACTTCGAAGGTACAACCATTGATAATATTTTCTGGCGAGATGACATTGCCGGAGCTCTTTGACATTTTCTTGCCATTGCCATCACACAAGACACCATGAAGTAAAACTTCCTATATGCATGCATAATTTATAATTATCAATTTAAGCACACTATAAAAAGAGATTGCTTCTTTTAATATTATTTTACAATAGTATACTTTAATGTGAATGGATTAGATTACTCAATATACTTACAATATAATATAATATAATATAATATAATATAGTATAATATATAGATATACAAGAATTATATCAAGATTCTGATAAAATATTGATAAAAAACAGACATGAATAATTTATTGTGCATATGGAATTATACTTTAAATGGCAAACGTTGTGTTAGTTCCAGACTTAACATCACCATTCTCGCCACCCAGAACATGAGAATATCATGGCCTGTTTCCATCAGTGTTAGCGGATAATGTCTTGCCATATCCTCCGTCTATAAATTTCGGTGATGTGTAAAAAAATATTCATAAAGTTACATGTAATAAAATGTGTATAGAGAAGAATATTAACGTTTTCCGGCCAGCCAAGCGTGGCAAATGGTACAACTGTCGAAGAAAACCATGTGTCGAGAACATCTGGATCCTGACGTAAATTCACTGTGTTTCCATATTTCTCTTGTGCAAGAGAATGTGCTTCTTCTTCGGATCGTGCGATTATCCACGAAGTGGTATTATTACTATCAGAGAATATATCATTATCATTATCTTTACCATTACCATGAATTATGGAATATGCCGGAATGCGATGTCCCCACCATAACTGTCTTGAAACACACCAGTCTCTAAAAAAAAAAAAAAGATTTTTAAAAGATAGATTAAATATTGCATTTTTTAAATTAATTTTGTTCATTCCTTTATTTATTCATCTATTTCATTATGTCTTTATCCATTTATTTATTAATTTATTTAATAATTAAACGCAATAATAATTTTACCTATATTTATGATTTTCGAGCCAATTGTACCACATTTGTTCGTAAATGCCGTCTTCATTTGGATAGATTTTCAATTCACCATTCGCCACGGCTTCGTACGCCCGCTTGGCCATTGCCGTACAGCGTAAGAACCACTGTTCTTTTGGCAAATACTCGATCACATCATGTGTGCGCGAACATAATGGCAATGTCATCCGATGATTATCTTCCACACCTTTCACCAAACCTCGTACGGATAGTTGGTCCATTAGTCTTTTCCGTGTGATGAATCTCGGCACTCCCTACAATCATTTATTATTAAATCGTAATAAAAAATTAATAAATATTGTATACGGAATCACACCTTGAATTCCTTGCATGCATCTGTCATGTTGCCACCTTCATCAATAACGCAAATAACTGGCAAGTCATGTCTTTTAGCGATGTTATAATCTAAGCGATCGTGTGCCGGTGTAATTTTCACTGCACCTATAAAACAAATAGTATTTATCACTCAAATAAAATAAACAAAAAAATAAAATAAATAGTAAGCCAATGAATAATCAAGTAAAAAATAAATATAGAATTAATTATAATAGATAAAATTTTTTTAATAATTTCTAGAAATCTACTTTTCTGTATTTTTTATTTCTGTATTTAATGTATATATAAATTCTAATTTGTCAATCTAATTTTTATAAATATTTACCAGTGCCAAACTCTCTCTTGACAGAAGAATCAGCTATGATGGGTATAAAAGTCTCTCTTATTGGATGGAAAACATATCGGCCAATATATCGCGAATATCTGTCATCGTTCGGATGCACAGCAATTGCTACATCTCCAAAAATTGTTTCAGGCCTAGTCGTTGCAACTATCAGTTCTTCCTCTGTGAAATAAAAGAAATAAAATTTACTACTATTAAAAAGCTAAAACTAAAAAAAGTAGATTTTTTTTTAGAAAATCTTGATTATTTTTTTCTTTATATATATATATATACAAACGTTTCAATCACTGCTGTACTGTGATTCTAGAGAACACAAATGAAAATTCAATATTAATATTCAATATTAATAATAATATTGTAACAAGTATAATATTATAACAATAATATTATAACAAGTATAGAACAAATATAATAGTAACAATAGATATTATAAATAGCAACAAAAAAGTATTACTTCATCAATGGTAAAGTATTCTCTGTCCCAATCAAGCGTAGCGCCGAGGGCTTTCAATTGCTGTTTGATAATTGCAGCCTTCTCCGCCTTCCACTGCCAGATCAATTGTGTAAACTCGTCACGACCCATGTCATATCGTGTAATGTTGCGTGTATGTTGTAATGTACGTTCTACTATGGCCTGTGTTGCAATCCCTGCATGGTCCAGACCTGGTATCCACAATACTGGATGTCCCTTCATTCTGTGCCTGTATGCATGTGCGTGAGCAGTAGAGAGAAAAATCTATAATATAACGGTAAATTTATCTATAGTAAATAAACATAACGTAATAAAAACTGCATATGATGCTAATAAGCATGTCAAATACATATTTGTATTGCATATTTTATTTTTTTCTATTTTTACTATATTTCTATTCCATATAGTAAACATTCTATATGGAATATATATAATAAGTATACCATATAGTAAATAATTTGATAATAAAAATTCTAATTATAAAGTATATATTATATTATTATATACTAGATACTCTAGACTCTAAATTCTAAAACTATTATAGGCGAATTATATGTATCCATCTCATGTTGTTATATATCTACATATACTGCTATAATATATATATATATATATATATATATATATACACATTATTGTACA